TCTTCCAAATCTTGTTATTGACTTTGGTCTGATAGATCGTCCATATCTGGTATATAGACTGGTAGGTTTGGTATCAGCTAATCTTTGAAATCTTGTTATTGAGTGTGGTCTGGTATATCGTCCATATCTGGTATATTGATTAGTAGGTTTGCTATCAGCTGATCTTCCAAATCTTGTTATTGACTTTGGTCTGATAGATCGTCCATATCTGGTATATCGATTGGTAGGTTTGTTTTCAGCTGATCTTTCAAATCTTGTTTTTGACTGTGGTCTGGTAGATCGTTCATATCTAGTATATTGATTGGTAGGTTTGCTATGAGCCGATCTCCCAAATCTTGTTATTGACTGTGGTCTGGTAGATCGTCCATATCTGTTATATAGACTGGTAGCTTTGCTATTAGCCGATCTTTGAAATCTTGTTATTGACTGTGGTCTGGTAGATCTTCTCCATTGATTGTTAGATTTGTTATTGTCTGTTTGAGTAAGATAATCCTTTCTGGAGTAACGCCGAATTTGTGGTGGACTGGCGGCATCCTTATCCTGAGTTGTTGTTCGCTCGTCTTTGAATGAGGAGGCTTGGTGAAATTTTTGACTTTCAATACCTCTAGTGTGATCCTTTCCTTTGGCTGCAGGTAGCGAGAGTACACGTTCGTTGTCTTGTGCAGTTGTGTTAAGAAGCATTTTTAATAGAAATATGAATTGATAAAGGCGGAAAGAAAATAGCTTCATGGCGTCGGATTTGTTATTGTCTTGAAGAAAGTTGTGTCCCGTTTTTATACTTCATTGAGGAAGATTGAAATTTGTAGTATTGGATATCCTGCTTTTAAGTTGTTCCGTAAAAGGCGAGGAGATTGTAAGTACTGAACGCGTGCAATGAATTGACTTTTATATTGTTGAAGGTCCTTATTTAAATTTGTCAGGTGTTACAAAAACTACGTTATTTTCTTAGGATAAGGTGATAGTTTTGGTTTCGCCCGCACAGAAGTACCATAACATGTGAGGCATATTTGTCGGAAGTTATGAAATTCACGTTTTTTTCTTACGATGAGCTGACAACAATATATTTCGAGAAATTCGAGATACTAACACATAGAGATTTATAAGTGCACAGCTTGCCTTTAAGTACCATCAAGTGTGGCTGGAGTGGCATCACCTGCGATGACCAACAACAACATCAACTAGCTTTATTTGCATGACCATAACTACATACAGTGTTGCAAAAGCTTTTATAAACTAAAACTAAGACTAAAACAATGACGATTGTCGCGATCATATAATAATGATATGATATAGCAATCAAGTTAAAGACCAAACTGATAAAATGTAAAGAGACAGAGATGCAAAACAAACACTGAACATTTATTTAACAAAGTTTATTTATTTATTTTTTTCTAAAGAAAGCAAAGCTTGTCATCAGCTGATCTCCCAAATCTTGTCCCAACAACAACAATCCCAACAACAACAGCAACAACAACAACAACAACGACAACAATCTTTATTTGCATGACCATAAATACATACACTGTTGCAAAAGCTTTTGTAAACTAAAATTAAACTAAAAGTAAAATAGTAACGATTATCGTGATCATATAATAATGTTACGGCATAGCAATCAAGTTACAGACCAAACTGATAAAACGTAAAGTAGCACCTTAATGGGCGTATAGTTCTTGATAACTGTGGTCAATTGGTCAATGTATTACCCAATACTATTCATGTTGGAGTAAAGCACGGAAGGGTTTGGTGATTGACAATTCGAAGCTTTGTGATGGATAACGAACGTGTTGCGCACCCGGGGTTTCCCAGCACCGTGTTGGGTTAGTTACCGTAATTCTAATTAATTTAATTTTCTGTAGGAAAGCTATAAACCTAGAGGCACTACATCACTTCAGACGTAATGGTATGCATTTCGGCAAGTTTCACTTGATAGTTTCGTGAGTTGTAGACATAATTTGCGAAAAATCATTGTCGCCACGAAATTTCAACAGGCTCGTTTTGCAGTTGTTAAGAAAGTCAATGAAGCATTTACTCAGACCAAGCAAAAAATAGGTACGCAGTGCGCACATGGTCGGACGTGCAATACATGCATATTACCTTATTAACAGTAATAAGTTTTGCAGTGATCCTTCGTCATTTTATTTGAAACATGAACAATGCATATATAGATATAAAACCAACTACTAAAACGGATTTATTTAAAGACAGTGAGTCATTAAAGAACAAGTACAGACCGTTTATTGCAAGCTTGCTCAGATGACAACTCAGACGGTACAAATATGGAATGATTTCTACTACTCAGGTCATTATGTACTGTCTTGTGGAACCTTATCTGGCCAAATTATACTTGTTTACACTGATAAGTCTGTTATGCCGAAAATGTGAAGTAGGCTAGGTCAATAACATGTAACCATTTCGGTGTCCTACAAGCAGAATAAAAGAGGGTGTGAATTATAATCATTACAATTTATTAACAATTCTTTTATATCAAATGAGCTTTGACATTTCCTGCCAAACGTTCACCAAAGGGTAAACTAAAATTAATGTTAAATACAGACATTTTCTATGGTAATTCACATAGAAGCAAAAAAGTTTGCCGAGTGCACTTTGACAGCAAGCTGTATAAAGAATCCCCTTTGTGTAAGATCTGAGCCATAGCAGCAGCACTGGAAATCATCCTATGGTGTTGATAAACAATGTAAATTAGAGAGTTTGCTACACAATCTTCTCTGTGAGTGAGGAGGAGAAATAGTTAAACTGACATCAAAGTCAGTCACAATTGGGGCTGGGTTTGTCTCAACGCAGGCAACACCGCTGCCAAGTCGAAGTCTTAATTCAGGGATATAAGCTTTATAGAAACCATAAAAAATATCTGTGTAAGCCAGAGAGGATTTATTTCGAAATAACGAATCACACATTTCAATACTGCTAATTAAATCGATATGAAGTAAAACAAAAGCAGCATAGCACACCATAATTTTTCCTTGAAGCATCCTCGATACTCCCTGAGAGCTCAATAAACACTATGTTTGCCAACAACAAGTCTGTACGTTTTGTGTTATAGGTATCTGCGACGCAGACTAGGTATTATTTTGCTCAGGTTTGTTCAAAAATGCTCTAAGGTTATCTCAAAGTCACACAATTGTGCGATCAAGTACGCGATCAAAGTCAGCTATATTGACTTGAGTAAGGTGCTACTTGAGTATCGATCCCCGCTCTGATGCAATGTGTTTGCATGTTGTAATCAAATTATGATGAAGAAGAAAATATACTCAGGTTTTGTTCTGGTAAACAGCTACGCCACACACAAAGAACTAGCTGGTAAACAGCTACACCACACGAAAAGAACTAGCTGGTAAACAGCCACACCACCCGAAAAGAACTTGTTGTTAAACAGCTACGCAACACGAAAACAACTTGCTCGTAAATAACTTTTTGGGTCTAAAAGTAGCTTGGATGATTTTTTCAACACAATTACCCCACCCCACTAGCCTCTGTAGAACATTTTGAACGGCTCGAACAGCCATCCATCCTGCCCGAGGACCGCTTCGCTTCTCAGTTACATAGGTCGGACATTAGCATGTCCTCCCAAAAAAGGCATGCTCGTTCAAGGCTTATATTTTTAATAAGAACGTTGTACACCCCCTATAGCAACAACGATTTATTTTTTTACGTTTTTCTCCTGAGCGCACAAAACGTTACTCAAGTTTTGCGGTTTCTATTTAAAAACATTTGTTTAGTCTAAAAATTCGAATACACATCTGACTCGATAAAAACAGGAAACTGTAATCTAGAAGGTAGAATATTATTCCATGGCCTTCTGATCACTTCTAGAATGGACTCCGTAGACAGCCATGATCAGTTGACAGTTGAAAAACCAAATAAAACCACGCTGAAGAGCAACGCAAACTGCAGAACGACATTAGGGTCTCTGCTTTTAACGGTGCCGCTGACCACAGGTGTTCCTATCAGGAGAAAGGATACAAAGGTTTGATTTTTTATTTCTAGAGAAATGTAACAAATGTTATTCGCCACACGGGACACTTTGGGGAGACCTAGCTCTAGCACTCGGCAACACGGCTTGTGAAGAGATAGAGAGCAATACTGTCTAGCGCAAAGGAGGATACTGGTCTGCCGCGGAATTTCGTCGAGTTTGTGGCCATCATTATAGCACCCAATATTTAAAGACAGATCACATATCCTACGCGATAAGCTAACCTCGTTTTATCCTGAACTTGATTTGATTGGGAAGACTGCAATCTCGTTCTAGGTAAGACAACAGCAGACACATTAGTATAAAGTAACAATAGCAACATTGTATTGCTCAAATAACTGACATGTGAAATCTAGTTCCGATAATGTGATCTCTTACTTCACAGCACTGATTTTCAGCATGACTAGAGAATAAGGTTACACTTTTGAGAATAAGAAAAAGAAATCACCAACCCAAATGTCAGCATGATACTTAATTTCGATTTTATTTGCCGATCATCGAAAACCTTAATCAGATTCACTGCGGTTTTATATTTCGCTATGATTAAGATTAATAGTAGCGTACATCTTAGTGTAATTGTATTAACGGATTGTTTTACATGAACAAACGACTGGGCGACTAGCCTAAAACTAACTTATAGGAAGAATGAGCTTGAAAAAGAGAAAGGTATCGGGCACAGGTATTTCCTCTCTTGGCTTTGTAATCTGTTTGTTCAGTATGTTTCAGACATTCCTAGTTATAGATTGAAAAAAAGGAAAACTATTAAAACCGTTCTCCGACTGAACAAGTCATTCAAAAATCCGAGGCTTCAGCTTGGATGCTACAGCCCTTAATGGATTAAAGGAAATGGAAGAGCCAATAATATTCGTAGAAAAAGACCTCGATAACCATCCACGTTGGAAATTAGAAATGTAATGCGCTGGATAATGGTAGCACGCATGGCGTTAATGTCTACATTATTTTTCCTTACGTTTCAGGCGAAACATAGATTTAAAAATTCACATTTCTTAATTACAGGAGTAAACATATTGAACAGTTGAAAAACCTGAGCAAGTTAGGAGGGAGGCTTCTCCATAAATTCCAATGTTGATTGAAGGACAAGTGTCAGATGAGTTGTAACCTGCGAGTAGCGCATTGTATAACAAGATTAGTCAACATCAAACTCGCCCACAATAAACTTCGATAGAGCTAGCAGCCATTGTCACACCAAGAAATAATGACGATAATAAAAATATAGTAAACATTGAAAGGAAGTGAGAAATATAGGAAAGAAGAAAATATACTACAGTGGAACCTCAATTTAACTAATCTCTTCGTAGCCAAGTCCTCGGTATAACGAACAATATTCTTCGCCCCAATAACAGAAAGACAGAAAGAAAGACAGGAAGAAAGGGACAAGGAAACAAACGAAACAAAAAGGAAAATAGAATAATTTGCACTTCCTACCAGCACAAAGGTTCGTAAATTGTATCTGCATGTTATCTCCTTCGCCTTAAGAAAATAATAATAATAAAAAAAACTTAAGATGGCAATCACTCAGAAGATAAAGTTCAAAACAAACAAACAAACAAACAACAACAACAACAACAACAACATTTGGTTGTTGAAGGCGTAAAATTAAAACCCGGCATTCAAATAGGTCTTAAAGATGCCAGTGCAAGATTTCCAATGTAAGAATTTAATGAGCAGCGATGAAATGTGTGTTAAGACTTATTAGGCACCAGAATACGTGAAAGTGTAAATTATTATCCTTTAGGAGAAAGATATTATTATTATTACTGACTTTTAGCAAAACTGAATAACGAGTTCTCCTCATGTACAGAAACCGAATGGCCTGTTGCACAAGTCGGACCCTCTTCCTATGAGGCACAGGAGACCCAGGGGAGCTGGGTCAATTAATTAGGTTCAAAAATGTAACGGCCATTTTGTACACTGCTAGGATTTACAGGTGTCTGAACTGGTGACCAAGACATGCAGGTTAAGCTTTGCAGAAACACAGCGCGAGAAATCCTCTAGCCATACAATTGTTTTTTTTGTTTATTGAGGTCAAGACAGTCTAATACTAGTAGACAGGAGTCAAATCGCAAGTACCGAGCACCATACACGACGCGTTTGCTGGGAAAGCGTCCTGGAAACGTAGGAATACGCCAAGAAAACGTCGTTGACATACCTGCCGGTCCAACTTTTTGAGAGTAATTCTCAGGACCTGGAGTGTCGGTTATTCTTGACGCGTACACCGATACTGAACCGTACTCTGGTATAATCTGTAATAAATAATGAAGGGTATAAGATGTTGGACGATTGACAATTACTAGTGGTTTGAAAGTTTAGAAATTTAAGCAAATTTCAATGGAGCAAAAAAAAGCCTTTTCATTTTTCATACCTTCAAACTGTCATAAAAGTTCGCTTTTTAACGTCAATGATCTAAACTCCCCCCGGGAGGGGGGGAGAGAGACTCACATATAAAAAGGACGGGGGGTGCTCGTCGTACCTTTTAAGGGTTAAAAAAGCGGTTTTGGTACCTCTTAGGGTGTTGAGGCGGGGGGGAGATTTCACGGTACCTTTTAGGGTATAATGATTAAACCGAAACAAATATGACAGGAGATAACGTATTGTTTTAGAATTGGTTCCTCTTAAGGGTGGAGACCATTTTAAGCCACGCCCACGAAACAGAATCTTGGTACTCTTAAGGTTTTTTTTCAAAATTTCCGACGAGCACCCACGTCTTTTTTTATATGGGAGTCCCCCCCCCCCCGGATCTAACAATTGGTAGTGTTGCTAATCGTAACGCATTTTTTCTATTTCGGGCAACAATTCCATTCCACAACTAATGATGTTTAACACATAAAACAGATACAGTTCTTACATCAATATAGATATCCCCGACTCCAAAGAAGTGCTCTGCGGATAACGTGAAAAATCGTGCTTTGTTGGGAGAAACATAAGCCACAACCTCCGTTGTGTCCCCTGCGTGGGTAAAGTTCAAGCCCATGTAAACTGGTGCTGCAAAGACATGTCAAGCGTTAACACTTTGTCGGAACTTGTTGACTCAAGAATTAAATCTAAAAGGACTCTGACACCTCCAAATCATCCGCGAAACTTGAAAACTACTGAACAGAATTCGCCAGTGAAATCTAATGACATTTCTCTCTGTAAGCTAGATGGGAGTTTTGTGAGAGTTGACAGTATCAATATATAGAGGCACAAACATGAGAATAATTCTAAAAGACATATTTTCATTGATGAGAACATGGAAATAGTGGTCTAGTATTGGATTAAACATGGACATAGCCTGTATTGCAGCCGTTTCCTTTCCTTATCGAACAAGCGAGCAAGCAAGCGGGCGGACGAATGAGCGCGCCTGGGGTGAGCAAAAAATTGGGGAGAAGTGGGGAGGGGGTGAGTGAGAAGGGGGAAGGGGTGGGGAGAAAAGGAATCACCGCCTCCCCTGCTCCTTATTTTTCGCATTCGCTTGCAGTTTCGTTCAATTCGTGTAGTTTTTGGGAAACGCTTGCTACGCATACTAACATGGACAAGGTTGTAATATCAAACTGAAATTCTCTTAATATCTTGATTTTGGTGTTTTAGGAGCATCTCTTGTATGAGCAAAGGTATTCAGTTATGATTTTAGCACACTTCAACCAAAAACGCGGCAAAATGAACATGACGGTGTCACTTCAAAAATGACCACCGAAAAGTATTTTTCTTTCAATAACTGGCTCTGAACAGACCCTTTTCATCGCATAAATGACTGCCAAGTACAAATTCTTTTGTAAGTATTAAAATTAGCCTGACTAACCCCGTTCTTGAGTTGATAATTCAAAAGAATTTTTACTCCCAAACGAGTTTAGTTAGGCTAATTTAAATACATACAAAAGAATTTTAAATTGGCAGCCATTTATGAAAAGGGTCTATATATGGGAGGATCAATCACTCCTTCGACTCTATTAATGGTTTCCGAAAGAGCAGTCTTGAGAATTTGACCAGGGATTCGATAATCACGACACCCAAACCTTCCCATGTTCCGTCGACGTTTTAGATCTTTTAGGAACGTAAATGGCTGTCCCTGTTTCGGAGATAAAACTCACTAAAGACCGTTCTGTTATGTCTATGTAACGCTATTCCCGGTATCCTATATGTGTTGGCATGTCTTCCTTGGAGCGCACGGTTGTTACATATTTGGCGCAAAATAAATTACGTTTGTAGTAAGGATGGGCAATAAGAGTGAGAGCTAACCTGCTGAAGTGTAACTCAGTACAAACTAGAAAGTCTTAGTCAAACGTATGAACTTTGTGCTACGGTCAATACGAAGTCTGTACCAGCTAGTTGTGAAGCAGTTGGCAGCGGGTTTAAGGATACTGTTTGAGTTGCTTCAAATTGTGAATAACCTTTAGCGGAATTGTTTAACAGATACAAGTGAACTCACCCTTACGGGCTTTTCTTCTTAGTGAAGTAACCGGCTCAAGAAGCTTATCAAAGTTTTTGGTGGTGAATACATGCCTCTTTTGTCAGCAGCAATCAACTTCAATTCTGAAAGTGAATACTTTAGCGGAATTGTTTAAGGTGGCCGAACACAGTTTTCAAGAGCCTATGCCTAATTCACCATTACTTTTAAGCTATTTATGCTTTGGCGCTCGTTTTTTGCAAGAGTCA